GGGGCACGCGCAGCGGAGAGGACCTGCGTGGGATGGGAAAGAGAAAGGTGGCGCTGGTCGGACCCGCCTGGAGCAGCGTCCTGTGCCCCTTCGTTTTCGGGGCACCGTGAGCCGGAGGGGATTTGGTCCCCGGAATCTCATCCCGTTGGAGGGGGGGGGGCGGAGGTCTCGGAGCCCACTGGACATTTCGTTTTTAACCTTCCATCCATTGGGACTCAAAACTGTGAGACGCATTCGCCAAACTGTGACCCTCCTAGACCTTGGCCCCGCCATACAGAAACCCCTGACCCCAGACTGTGACTTCCGACCCCTACCAATGGTCATCCGACCCCAGACTGTGACCTCTGACCCGAAACTGTGACCCGAACCCCAGACTGTGCCCCGACCAGACTGTGACCCTTGACGTCAAACCGGGACACCCCCCCTCCTCCTTTTCCACCCCGGGTCACATTTCCCTATTTTGACTTAGGACACACCCCCAACGGAAGCCCCGCCCCCCAGCGTTGATCCCACCCTTTAGGGGCCAAAACCTCCCACCCAGCCGCACCTCACTACCTACCCCAGGTGCCACCAAACACACCCTCTCCAAATCTCACCCTTATCTGTGACCCTTCAGTGATGACCCAGCAGACCCCCCAAAGCCTCCTCTTCCCAGATCTCCAGCCGGGCCTGGAGCGGGGTTGTGGAGGGGAGGGTCTGGGAGTCCACACTCACCACCCACCTTCCTCCCCTCTCTCCTGGTCCACCTTGCAGTGTTTGGAATAAACCATGTTTTTATGCCTCCTCAGTCCAAGTGTGAGCTCCGTGTCTGTCTCGTATCCCCCCACCCCCATCCCCCAGCACCAGCACCCTCAAACCTGTGAAGGAAACAAACTGAGAGAAGTCCCACCGAAAGAAGGGGCAGAAAGAGAATTAGAGCGAGAGCCGAGACCCTGGAGGGAGGCGGGAGACCAAGACCCAGGAAGAGGAGGTGAAAAAAGACCCTGAGAAGGGAAGGGCTGAGAAGGGGCAGGGGTGGACAGAGACCTGGAGATATGGGGGACAGAGAACTCAGGAAAGATCCAGGATCAAGCCATTTCAGGATCAAGTCTAGGGTCCCATTCCTAGGGCTACGGTCAACGAGGCGTGCAAGATTCTTAATATCCTGTCCATGCAAGCGAGGAGCGTGTCTAATACATTTCAGCCAATCCACGTATCTTGAATGGCGTTAATCTCACTAAGGAGAATCTATTTCTAACATTTCATTATGCCAATTAGCCAAACCTCTGCTGCTGATGGGCGATAAGGAGAAGCACTTGTAACAGCTGCCTCCGGAGGGTGGACTTTCTGATTAAGTGCTCGCTGACCATAGCTGCGACGTGAAGTCCTTGGTTAGGCACTTGACTGCCCCGAGAGGGTAGATTCAACCGACTAACTCACGCGTAATATCATCCTGCTTACATTAAGCATTTTGAAATAAATTAAAGCCATCATCACAAGGAGGGGAGAAGAAACCGGCTTTATGGGTCTTCAGAGAACAGAAACCCACACTCCTTGTCAGTAAGAGCTCTTATTTGCATACATGAATAATCATCTGAGCGAAAAGAAAGCTCTGGGAATCAAAGGTGGAAAAATGGAGTGGAGGCTCTGAACTCCGAGTCTAGTAACATAATTAAAGCATAGTGATTAATCACAAAAACAATATGTAATTATATATGTGTTTTCCGATGGTCTTAGGCGACCCCTGTGAAAGGGTCGTTGGACCCCTCAAAGGGGTCGCGACCCACAGGTTGAGAACCGCTAGTGGATGGGGGGGGGCACAGGCCTCCCAGAGAACTACAATTCCCAGGAGGCCTTGCGACGGCTCCGCGGAAGAGCGCCTCAAAGTCATGCGGGGCTGGTGGTCTCCCCGTATCCACCACCCGCCTCCAGGGCTAAACCAGGGCGCCGTTACCTTGTTCTCCTTCTCCCTCTCCCCACCGCCCTCTCTAATTGGTGAACTGGAGAGTTTCCAAGGTAACGGCGCCGCCTGGCGGATCTTCGAAAGGGTGGGGGCGGGGAAAGCGCAAACCGGAAGTGACGCTCTCCCCTCGCGCCGACAGCTAGAGGTTTCGAGGATGGCGGCGCGCAAGGGTCGGCGGCGCACGTGTGAAACCGAGGAGCCCATGGAGGCCGAGTCCCGCAACGCTGAGTCCGAGGGCCCGGCCCAGGTCTATCTGCCCGGCCGGGGACCGCCGCTGAGCGAAGGAGAGGAGCTGGTCATGGACGAGGAGGCCTACGTGCTGTACCACCGAGCGCAGACCGGTGGGTGGGCACCCAGACCCCTGGCCCCCGGGGAAGGAGGGAGCTGGAATCCTGGGTCCCGGACCCAGGTCCTGAGCCTTTAACTTACTAGTAAGAGGCGCTCTGAAAGGGAAGACTGGGGTCCTGAGAGGGGTGGCGTCACACTGCAGGGCGCTGAGATCCCGCCGTCCCATCATGGCTTTCCAACCGCTCCTTCCCTCCCCAGGCGCCCCCTGTCTCAGCTTTGACATCGTCCGGGACCACCTGGGGGACAATCGCTCCGAGCTTCCTCTGACACTTTACCTGTGTGCTGGGACCCAGGCGGAGAGCGCCCAGAGCAACAGGTGAGTGGGACCTGAGGCTTGCCCAGGAGTCCAAGTCCCCAGCCTCTTCCTGGCTCAGAGTCCAGGAGTCAGCCTCCAGCTCCCCTTCCCCAGGGACCCAGGAGGCAGGGCTTCCGGCTTCGGCCTCCCTCAGACCCAAAAGTTGGGGTGTCCCCGCGCCTCAGTCACATCCCACTTTCCCCCAGATTGATGATGCTTCGGATGCACAATCTGCACGGGACCAAGCTCCCACCCTCAGAGGGCAGCGATGAAGAGGACGAGGAAGATGAAGAGGATGAAGAAGATCGGAAGCCTCAGCTGGAGCTGGCCATGGTGCCCCACTACGGCGGCATCAACCGAGTCCGGGTAAGTGCAGCCTACGCAGTCTGCTCTTCGTCTCTGGAGCACGCCCCTACTCTCACGTCTGTGCCTGCACCTCAGCTTTTGGGACAGCATCGGGCACATAATTTTATGTGTTAGTTTACATATGTCTTAGCTA